TTTTTTTTTTTTTTCCTTTTTTGAAATATAATCGTGTGATGTATAGACGCGCGTGATGTATATACACATTACTATCGTTTACGATCTAGTGAACATATGGTAATTGAACGTAATAGAGCAACCTGACAACTTGATGGCAACTCGATACACTTGCCCAGTAAAGGCGTCGTGTTACTGATTGATCGTAATAGATGCCGCAATTGATGCCGCATACAATGAATGAATATCGTTCACCATTGATACCATCCAGCATCTTCTTATCAGCGTGCGTTTGATTTCAAATAATTTGATTTCAAATATCGTTATTTACGATCTAATTGCTTTAATACGATTACTTTAACATGTTATCTTCGAATAGATTCGTCGAGTAATAACATAGAAAGTAACATAATTTAACGTCACTAATCGTTTTCATATGTGTGCTTTAAGTACACTTAAAGACGCACGTATAATGAGTATAATTTCTGCTTGGACCCAACGATCAAAGTGCAAGCATTAATAATTTATACGAGTTTCATTTTAAACGGAGGCATGTAATTACCAACAGATGTAATGTATCTACTCTCTTGTACACAAATTTTTTAACTGACAGGGAAAAAAAAAAAAAAGAAAAATAAGAAGTTAATTGTGTAAGATTATGTAAATGCATCGCTGACTTCTACACAGACTTTCGTGAGATAAATCTTGACCGACTAGTATAGCTGTCAACTGTTGCTGCACATGTGCGCACGTTCGATAGAATGAAAGCGGTTACCACGTGGTTAACTATAACGCGCTCGTGCTCGGTCTTCATACTCCTTTCGTCATTATCAATCAACATTTCAACACGCGATAATTATTTACTAATTCATAGTAATATAATCTAGCAAATCTTGTACATAATTAATAAATGCAATTGCACAGTTTCTATTTTCTGTAACAATATGTATCGAGGTTCATCATCCTCGACGAAGGGTGATATTAATGAAGCCACTAACAATTAACAGTTTGGTATACTCTATGCAAGCCTGTTATTTACAGGCGAGTTATCGATCATTACGTGTGGTCAGCTTAAAAATATCTTACGTTTGTTTTCCAATCGGAAAGCAGATGTCAAAAGCCGATGGACAGACTTCTCTCTGCCAGATTCCCGTGTCAAAGATGCGCGACGAGAAAGAGAAGGAGGGTTCGAGCAAAGCACAGCACTGATTGAAGCACCATGTGCCAAGAAATCTCCGCGTGCCCGCGCGGTCGGAGGCTCTCTAAAGCACAGACAATTGATCTCGGCCGATTTCAGTGGCGAAAACGAGGACGAAACCGGCAAACGCGCGCGAAGGTAGGACCCGAGAGAGACGTTTGTAAAGCCAGTTGCGGCTGACTCTGTGGGCTCTTCAGAAACGGATCGTTAAGTGTCGTCGGGAGCTTCCCGGTGCGACTGATCTCTTCGTGTTTACCGCGATGCGCCGCAATATCTGTCACGGCAGCTAGGAAAGACACGTTGCAGCCTGGCTGTGGCTCGATGGTGCACGCGAGAACTCGTGGAGTCGGAATGGGGTACACCTGTCCGATATAGAGAGTATACTATAAACTTGGCGGCCCGCCCCCTGACCCAGACACACAGTACAGTTATATAGGTCCCTCACGAACCGGAGGATATCTCTTCTCGTTCGAACCACACTTCTGACGACCACGACCACGACTCTCGGTGAGACGTGGTCGCGGTGGTGCTCCTATTCGTTGTTCTTGTCCTTCCTGATAATCATGTTGTCGCGTGTATGCGTGCGGCTTGTCGGACATACGATGCCTTTAACATCTTTCAGTGTGTCTCTGCTACCGTGCAGGTGAACTTTGTGTAGTTCATGGAACGGCTGAATCTCGTAGACGTGGGAGAGACTGATGCGTAGGGCAATTCCAGGGGACAATCAAATGAATTCTCCGCTCTTGATATGACGCATCGTGTGCATAGCTACGTCCTACAAGTGAATGTTTCCTATATCATCGTACTTATACTACTATGAAACTTCGCACTGTTAAATAAAAGAAATATATATATATATATATATATTTTTTTTTTTTCAGTAAATAACGTTTCTGCCTTATTTATCGAGACTTTACAGTTCAAAATTCCAATTCTTCGCACGGTTTGGATAATATCAAGGTCAGGAACTATGTAACGCTTTATAATATTGTTCACCTGTTTATTTCACACGAAGCTTTAATTGTTTAGTACACAATTACCCAGGACAATGTTTGCACGTATGCGCATCCACCAAACATACGAACGTTGTAAATGGGTGAATCAGTTGACAGTCAACCGGCCGGCCGGTCGACCGACCGACCGACCGACTGACCGCACACGCATTGCTGACCTATAGATGTATGTAACAATGAATAGAATCTTATTAGCAACGATCATTGTTCGGTTTCTCCTCCTCCGTGAATATGGCCAGAGGCGGAATTTCCTGACAATACAAGGGAAATACTAGACTAAATTTTGTTCATCAAATTGTTTGCTTTCTCTTTTTTTACATAATAGAAAAATTTCAACAAACTGTAGGCAAAGAACGGAGAACAGGAGAAATGTGAATGCGATGGTCCGACGAGATGAAAAGAAATAATGATTCTAATGATTAAATGTAAATCTTATGTATATTGTTGTGACGGC